TTTGACCTTGTATCAAGCCTTTTGCAATCAGCTGCACAGCAGGGCTCAGATTGAGAAGGAGAGAAGCAGCACAAGGAACCAGTTCATATGCTGTAAGGGAGTATGCCGAAAGGAGAAGAGAGCGGAATGATAAAGACATCAAATCATCTGTGTGCTACTTCCTCTTTACTGTCCAGTCACAGGCTGGGGCTTTGAAGAAACCTCTGCCACTTAATTGCAATGAAGAAACAAAATCTGAGAGGACTGGATGGACCGAAATACAAATTCTTTGGCAGATAAAACATATACTGTATGTAGTTGATGTCTTTAGCTGTTTGCCTGGAGTTCAGTCAGGGCCGGTGCTAGGATTTTTGCCTACACAGGCAAAGTGTCATTTTTGCGCCCCCCCCCCCCCTCCCCGAAGATTTATGAGGGCTGAAACAGCAATTTGCAAATACATTTGGATGAAATGAATGCATATAAAGTTTGAGAACCTCAAAAAAAATGATGTTCTGTATCATTAGAGGACTTGTCTTCAAGGGGAAGCTTGGAGAGACAAGAGGGGGCTCTTTTAATGTGCTTGCTATGGGGCCCCATCAGACACAGTGGCGGAACTACCACCATAGCAACCGATGCGGTCGCTATGGGGCCCGTGGCACTCGGGGGGCCCAGATCCCCGCTGCTCTCCCCCCGCTTGTATGGGCTGAGGCAGCGGGAATCCGAAAAAAAAAAATAGACGGCGAGGAGCAGCTGTCATCCTGATGGATCGGCAGGCGGGGGAGGAGAGCGGAGCCGCTGTCCTCCTGTCAGTTTCAGGATGACAGCGGCTGTGTGCGTGGCCGAGCGGAGGATCGGTAAGTATCATTGTGAATGAATGAATGGGAAGCCTCTGTAGTGAGTGCTTCCCATTCACTGAGTGCTGAGGCGGCAGAAAAAGACATTGAGGACTCAATGCCTTTTTCTATTTCAAAAGGGAAATGATGGTTCTCCACCATGACCTCACAACAGGAAACACATCCGATGATTCAGAGGGACATTTCAATTATAAAGGGTCCCACAGTGCTCTCAATCACCCATGGTTTGAGAGTGATGAGAAGACCCTCCAGAGTCTAGGACCTGAGAGTGGTGGTCCCGGTAAATGACAGCAGTATTAGACCATTTATAATCTGAAGGTCTACTTGTATTAAACTCAGTTGAGTTCCGGGAGTGATGAGCAGCTGCCCTGGATTCTTGGACTGCAGCTTCCTTCAGATAAACCATGCTGAATGATATGAATGACAAACAGCAACGTTGGACCTAAAGGTCCATTTGATTCAGTAAGCAGTGGGAAAGAGACGGTGGAGCACCATAATGTATGAAGACAATGCTCAGGGTTCAGTGTGGATGGTTTATACCCATAAGATTGCTCTTCTCTTTGCAGATGTTGGGCCATCCCGTAGAAGACTTTCACGTTGAAACATTTCTCCTCCATGGCCACCTGACAGTACGAAGCATACGAATCATGCATTACAGGTAATACATGGCTTAAACCACGACCTTGTCTTGTTGTGGCTGGTTTTGTACATAAACACTGTTAGTAGATACCCCAAACAAATGTTCTTCAATCCTAAAGCAACCTTGGTATCTAAGTGCAGGTGTCATAAATTGTCAACACGTTCATTTTGCTTCTTGGAGTGATCTGGCAGCTCTCTGAAATTTCTATGGAAATACTTCCTTTCTGAATGTTGGGATGTAGGCAACCTTTTGACCCCAACCCCCAAATTTTCAGAACTTGCCTCCTCTTTCACATATATTGTATGCTTTCCTTATCTGCAATGTTCAAAAAGCACATTATTTACATTGACTCCTCTCCACTCCTTTACACACTCCTTGTGAAGTTAAAGGGATTTTCACCATGACAAAATTCCAAACATGGAAACTGCACCAATAAAGTGGATTAAGACATCACCCTCAAAGCATCGAAAAGTTAGTATTAATCCAGTTTTAGCATGACTGATGGATTCATCAATTACATCCCTCTGTTAAAAAACCCCAATGAACACATGGACTGTGCAACATGGATTTAAATGGCCACAGCAGCCCTTTATTAAACATACCAAAATTGAACAGTTACCAAACATAATAACCGAAATCACATACAAATAATTAATCTGAATGACTGTTGGATCTGAGAAGGGGTCTTTGGGTGCCCATCAGCCAAAATAAGGCCTCTACCAAAATCACTTCCATGTCCCCAGCTGCACCCCAACCAGCTCGAGGACAGATACTGCTTTCCAAGTTCCAAGGGGCCAGGCCCCCGACAACTACAGGGGGAGGGAGCACCATACCAGCTGATGGCCCCCCATTTTGTAACTGACTCACATTTCTAGACCCCCAAAGACCCCTTAACCCGCCAAGCTGCTGTGACATAAAGAACCATTCCAACTGCAAAAAATTAGGGGAGGGCGGGCGGGACAACCTGCTTTCTCCGTCAATTTTCCGGAAAGAACGCCCATCAGCCCTTGCGGTCCCATCCCATGCGGCTCCTCCCTGACACCTGACTCCAACCTCTAAGGTCAACTGATTCCCATTTTATTTAACCCCTTCTCCAGGGACTATTCCTTCCCCCAGTCATGCAGCCCCTCCGCTCATTATCTCCGGGTCTGCCTTTATGTATAAGACTCAACTCTATTTCTGTTTGCTCACCAGGAATGGCACCTTAATTGGCAGTTTGGGGGAAGACAAGAGATACGACTTCAATTTCCAACAAGTCAGAGATTTGCCAGGAATGATCACGGTACAAATAGTACGTTGCCTGACTTTACATCACTTTATATCATACATCTGGGTCTTGAGAAAAGGGGCATCATATAGGAGGTGTAGTATATATACATATATAGCATTCTAATTTTCAGCAAGCAGGTGGCGATGTAGGCTCATTTCCAAATTTTAACCAGTCTTCTTTCATCTACCTTCATCTGCTTTTCTGAAAATCTCTATTGTTCTATTGTTCTATGTTTTACAGAGCTTTTTTTATGTCTACTACCTTTACTCTGTTCCCACTCTGTATCTTCGATCAGCACTCCTGTGAGTGTCAAGTGCCTGTGTCTGCATCCTGAGGTTCCCTCCTCTGACACCAGCGCTCAGAAGTGATGTAGGGGTCGGAGGATGGCAACTGATAGGTTCACATTAATACCTGACAAAGGATTCTCAGAGCACTATAGACAAGCCAACGTGCAAGCACAGCAAATGTAGCTCCCTTTCTGACATGCAGCCTTTTCTTTGAAACCTCAGACAGAGCCAGTTAATAATGGATGAGCCACTCCTTTGGCTTAGTTATGTGTGTACATTTCAGCTTGAGCTACTGATCTCTGTAAGTAAAGAGGCTTTTTTTTGGTTTCAACATGTGATAAGTAGACTGGGGAAAAAAAAAAAAAGAGCAGAGAGATGTGAGAGAAGTGACTGATCCTCCTGTTGTGTCCTCACACTGCTTACCTGCTACTCTACAGACACACAACGGCAAAGATGTAGAGATTTGATTTGTTATATTCTCTACCTGCAGGGAGATCAGATTATGGTGGAATGTACATCCAGCACCCCAGACAGAGAAGGTGTCACCTTTGTAAGTGTCAATCTTTGCCTAATTCATTGTTATACAAGGACAGATGTATGAGCTGTTGTACAGTAAACCTTTGTTTTAATGCAGGAGGGGGAAGGATACATGTTAAGCAAAGCTGCTGCCTATTCAGGAAACATATGATTTACATTTCCTTTTTTACTAATTGTATTCTTTGTATCTTTTCAGGGAGGACCGAGCACAACGAATGAAATGTGTGTGGCGTTTCTGTTTTATTATCCTGTTGTTCCCATTGCCGCCTGTTGGAGTCTCCTTGATCTACAGCATGTCGTCCAGAACCTGGAGCTGGACGAATCAGAGACGTGAGCTGATAACGTTAGGCAAAGTAGGCCTGTGCCTATAGCAGGGACGTGCGGTCAGTTTAAGAAGGTGGGGCAGAGCCTCACCTAGAATTAGGTGACAGCTTTTTCTCCATTCAGATCGGAAATCCTCCCCGCTGTGTAACCTGTCATGGACGGATCGCTGCCTGCTAATTACAGGCAGCGCTGCATCCAGCTTTTGACAGGTAGTTAGGTTACATAGTAGCGGGCTTCCCCACGGCTGGTGTAACCTAACTATTGAAGCCAGAGCTGTCACAGCCTCTACTCTTTATTAGAGGCGTGAGCGCTGTGGATGGCTTGGACCAATGGCAAATCGCCATTGGTCCAAGCTGTCCAATCAAAAAAAGAAGAAAAAAACCCCCGCTGAGGCCATCGATTTCGATGCCTCAGCAGTGAAAAGCAAGTGAGGGACAGGGAGGCTCCTCCCTTCTTCCTTTACACTAGCTTGGGGATAGGTTGGGGGTGGGGCTTTATCCGACAGGGCTTCATTTGCAGAGGGGTGGGGCTTCAGCCGGCAGGGGGAGGGGCGGGACGTGCTGGGGAATGCATCACCCGGAACAAGAGGTACCGCACGTCACTGGCCTATAGGCAACCCAAGGCAAAATGGTGGCTTTTTTCTCCATGGTTATATGGCACACATTATGTTATGTGTTATGTGTCAGTATAAAATACAGTCATCTCTGATAAACTTACACATAAAGCCAAATTAGGACCAGTAAAACAAGAAGGGGTCTGGGCAACAGAGGTAATCCTAACTCTGCTTTAGGTGGCAATGGTTATAGGCTACAGTCATTTTAATCTGGCCATGGCTGAGAATTATATATGCTGTGCCTATTATACATCAATGTGGTATGAATGCCCATTGAGTACAGTTTTGTACAAAGAATCTAATTTTACCAACATTTTAGGTACAGTTGAGAATGTTTCATGATTTGCGGACCCTCCCATGTCACATGTGGGTGTGGACTAATTACGAAGCGCAACCTATGAGCTTTATGTTTTCCACAGAGCCAAGGGTGGTGACCCTAAGGTCCCAGAACTCAACTCACAAAAGGGGTGGTGGTACTCTTTCCTTCATGCTCTGGGGCAGGTTGGCAAAGTGGTGCTGAACATCAATTAGACATCAAGGATGGCCGAGGAAGGCATTTCTGCTGGAGGTGTTATGGATATTAACACCGTTCTCCAAGAAGTGTTCAAGACCGCACTTAGACATGGCGGCCTGGCTCGTGGCATTCGCAAAGCTGCCAAGGCTATTGACAAACGTCAAGCCCATCCTTTGTGTTGTGGCTTCCAACTGTGATAACCAATGTATGTAAAGCTGGTCGGGACGCTTTGTGCTGAGCGCCAGATCAATCTTATCAAGGTTGATGACAGCAAAAGGCATGGTGAATGGGTTGGTTGCTGCAAAATCGACAGGGAAGGAAAGCCCCCCAAAGTTGTCGGTCACAGTTGCGTTGTTGTCAAGGACTATGGCAAGGAGTCTCAGGCCAAAGATGCCATTGAAGAATATTTCAAGAAACAAACACTTAAATAAAGTTTGATTTGAGTGTGATGTCTCCAAAAAAAGGTGGTAACAGACGACAGGCCGACGTTGCAGTGGTGTGAGTTTTAGGCTGGTGGTCCGATTATCGCGGATGACAGACAGAACACCAAAGCAGAAGCAGGCTACATTTGGAGTTGTGGACAGATATGAGTTCACAACCACACAATTTAAGGAGGGTAAGGCACACTGGTGCCAGCAAACCAGAGTCAAACACAGCCTGCTGATCAGTTGCAGGCTAAAGGTGCCCACACACCTTGCGATAATCGTACGACAGTCGCGGGAAATCCCGCGATCGTACGATTATCACAAGGTGTGTGGAAGGCGTGAGACCTCTACTACTGTAAGGTCGCACGACTTTTATCTTAGGAACGTGTTCAAAAACCAGATGAAAATCGTACGATTTTTGGCTGGTTTGTGGCATGTTCGCAAGATAAAAGTCGCACGGGCCGGTGTGCGCAAGCGCACACTGCCCTTTCAGTATTGTAGTCATCGGAAACACGCCCCTCAGGGGGGCGCGGCTTGCGATCATCACAAGTACGATCTGCCTGTCCAAGATAGGCGATCGTACGTTTTTTTAATTACCTTACAACCAACGCAAGACAAAAGTCTTGCGATGGTTGTAAGGTGTGTGCCCAGCTTTAGAGTCTCTGCTCTGTGTGACACCTGTGTGCCTCAGCCTCCAAAGCATATTTTATCTCTATTATATAAATTATGGTAGAAAAAATAGTTCTTGGAGGGGATGCTCAATGGGGAAAAAAAAAATAAGACATCCTCCGAAAATAAGACCTAGTGTGTTTTGGGGAAAAAAAAATATAAGGTAGTGTCTTATTTTCGGGGGAACATGGTAAATGGCATTCAGGAGCTCCCGAATGCAGTTCAGAAATTCGGATCCCTATGCCATTCGGGTCTGGGAGCCCTATATATATATTACTAAAGCTGAGGCTCCCAGACCCGAACGTCATTCAGGAGCTCACGAATGCAATTCGGAAATTCGGATCCCTGTGCCATTCCGGTCTGGGAGCTTCAACTTTAGTATTATATGTATATACTGTATATGGCTCCCATGTGGCCATAACGAAAATTCATGTTCAGACCCATTCTGTTGCATTAAACCGAAAAACACATCTGATTGGCCAGAAAAGTCACATGTCCAATTCAGTTTCGTTGTTGAATGAAAGTCGAATGGGATCTAAAATTCGGAAACAGAAATTCGGATTCGGACACATTCGGATGCATTGGGTTTCAAAAATCCGGATGTGTCTGAATGTGCGAATTTCGTAAAATTTGTCCGAATTTCATTCAGGAACGACGCGAATCGCACATGTCTAATATATACTTTGGGTCTCATTTATTTCTATATACCTAAAGCACTATTGGTTTTGGCACAGCAGTGGTTGTCTCCTTTTAGGCACAATGACCGTGGTGTGCAAATTTGATCTTGACCTATTGGGCTCTGTAGACAAGCAGAAACTGAAAAATACATGAAGAAATGCCAAATGGTCCACCTGCTGGCAAAAAAAAACAAATGGCATAGGAGAAAACAAGAGCACAGAAGGATCTGGGAACTCCGCCGTCGATATCTCAGTCCTGGTGTCCCTAAGGGCTCCTTTAGATTCTACATTGTAATGCATTATCATGTGTAGGCGTTGTATTTAGGCAGCTCATTCATTTTGAATGGACTAGCAGCACACCTTGATGCACTAAAAACACACCTGACCCTTGTTGCCATGGGGGCAGTGGTGTATTTTGGTTTTGTGCTGCCCAAGGCAAGACTAAGCTCGGACACCCCACTCAATCTAAAGAATACATTGCAGTCCCCAGCCTGCTTCTGGGACATTCCACCATCAGATCATATGCTATGGCCAGCCCCGAGCCACCCGCTGCTTCTCCTCCACCTCCTGTACAAAGCCAGACGGATCGCAACTCACTGGGCCCTTCCCTCCACCGGGCATCTCTCTAATTAGGCAACCGCTCTTAGGGCCTTGCGGCCGCCTAGTTTGCCTCATTAGGCAGCTGCTGCCGCCTGATTCTGTGCTGCCCCCAGCCTCGGCCCATTGGGCCAGTGCCCAGTATTCCCAAAGGCAAGTCTGGTCCTGGCCCCCTCATTGGTTTGGGGCGGCATTTTCTGCTGCCCCCATGGAAAGTGCCACCCTAGGCAAATGCCTAGTTTGCCTTGCGGTAGATACACCCCTGTATGGGGGTTGTGGTAAGCTGGAATCTGGGTACATTGCCCACTACATTAATACTATACTATGCCATAGTTTAAAGTAAGGTACATAAAATGTCAAAGTGTGAATGGGTCCTGCCCATAGAAGAGGGAAGTCATATTCAGACAGATCAGGGGATATTATCTCTGAGGGTGCCACTAGGTACAAAATCAGGCAAAGAAACTTTGTAGGCTTACTGTGCCTTTAAATTCTTGCCCACTGTCTCACTTGGACCTCCTGCCGTTTCTTTTTCAGCATAATGGATGCCATTATGAACATTAATTCTGTAGACTGGGATGAAGAGACTATTGCTAAAGCCCAAACTGCTATTATGGAAGCCAACCACACTGCACTCATCAATCATCGCACGGTGAGCATACTTTTTTTTTTTTTAAGTGACCCTGTCATTAAGTGACCCTGACAGCTATACCTGAAATCAAAGAGACCGAATACCTACCAGCTGTCTGTTCTGCCAGAACGCAAGAGAAATCCTCAGCTGAAGTCCACAGAGAAACTGGCATTTCCGGGAGAGTTGATCTCCTTGATCCCCCTCAGCATGCATTGGTTCTTCGCGGTGACCTCCACATTACTGTGTCCTGTAATGATGTGGAGATCGATGGGAAAAACCAATGAATGCTGCAGGAGGTCAACAGGACCGAAAGTGTTGGTTTCCCAGTGGACCTCAGTAGAGGATTTCCCTTGAATGGAGCTGCATTCTGTTGGCATGGGCAGATGGAAAGGTAAGTATTTCGGCTCTGTGTTTACAGTTATTACTGTTCAATCTTTCTTGGTTGTGAATAGGTGAGTATAGGGCCTTGAGGGATCATTAAAAGGACAACATGGAAGTTATCACTTATAGGATAGGTGCATTGCAGCACCCTATGTGTCATGTGATTGGGCCCTTAGTGGGCCACTGGTACAGGTCAGTTGGTTTTCACAAGAATCTTATAGTATTGTCGTCACTGTACCGCTGTTACTCTGAATTGTTTTTGTTTTTTTTTAGAAGTATCAGGTTTTTAAATGTACTATTTTATTATGTACGTGACAAACTCTATAATTGTTCATTGTCTACTACTTTTTTTTTCCCCAGGGGGATATGATCAATGAAACAAGCCCAACAGTACCCATTTCCCTACCCACCCCACATCCATGTCCTGAACATACAGATGACTAAAAACATAAATGGACATTCTCCTGGAGCCCTTGTTATGTTGAAGGATACGTTTAAGATACACCATATGGGCAAAAGTTTCCGGCCACCTGACCATCAGACCTACCTGAGCTGGTTGGGCATCCCATTTAAAAAAAAGTGCATTAAAATGTTTCCCTTTTTGGCTATAACAGCCTTCACTCTCTTCCAAGCCAAACTCATCAAACCTTGTCCGTATGGAGTTGGCGTTGTGCACATGACAGAAAAGGGCCTTACCCTAACTTGCCACAAAGATGGAAGAGCACAATTGTCAAAAATGTTTTTGCATGCTGTAGCTTTAACAGTATTCTTTGCTGGAAATACCTGAATTCAATAAGATGGAGGGTTGCCCACATACTTTTGGCCATAAAGTGTATGTAGGACAAATCTCTAGTATAACCAGAGAAAGATCTGGACGCATTGGGGGGAAATATAATTCATTTATTGGACAATTGAAGGTGTCCGAGTGTGAGAAAAATATTATTTATATCAATGTGCCGATTGGTGAACGTCAAGGACCTTAGACATTGTTTAGGCCAAAACTAACTCAATATGCATTTTTTAGGATGATGTCCCAGCAGAATTGGTATTTCTTGACTTGTAAAGGGCCACTCAGTGCTCTTTGTTATGTTTCAGGGCCCCATGTGACAGCAGAGGTCCAATCACACTGTTACATGGGAGAAAGGGAGTCACATGCCCACCCATACTGGGAAGTGCTGCTATTTGTCATTTCTGCCAATGGCTGAAAACAAAAAAGAAATACAAATATGTAATATATCATATTTAACATATATAGTGGCTATAAAAATGCCCCAAAAGCCATGTTCTCAACTGGGGAGCACAAGAAAGCTCATTATCTTCATCTGAGGAGGTGTGTGTTGGGGAGGGGGATAGGTGACCCTAGTATTTTGCCCTGCAGGACCAAAGCAAAGCCTATATACACATTGTTAGTAGAATCCCAAGACTCTTATTAACCATGGAAGAGTGAATCAGCCCAAGTTCAGCTTGCATGTGGGCTAAAAATGTCTTGTCAGCGAAGGACTTATAGCATATCTTAAAGTGACATTAAACCCTCAGATTTTTTAACATAAAACAATACTGTAATGTGCGCCTTACTGTAATCCATGGTTGTTACCCTTCTCTTTGCTGCTCTTCCTTTTAAATCCTTCTCTCTTCTCATGCTGGGCAGAACTTCTGTTTTGCAGCAGACTGCCTTGTCTCTGGAATGGATACATGGTGTCTGTGTGAAGGTTCACAACCTGAGCCAGCACTACAGGAAGAGGCAGTCAGCTGCAAAGGGAAGTTCTCCCCAATCATGAGAAGACATGAGGATTTAAAAGGAAGAGCAGCAAAGAGAAGGGAAACTACCATGGGTTACAGTGAGGCGCACATTACAGTATTGGTTTATGTTAAAAAATCTGAGGGTTTAATGTCACTTTAATGTAGCAAAGAGGAAGAAAGAAGAAATTAGAAGAACATACGAAACCTTCGACTGCTACATTATATCTAATCCATGTATCGTGTGTGGATGATGTAACTGATTTGTTTTCAATAAATAAATACAACTTCTCTGTTTTGTAATTAAACACATTCAT